ATATTTTTTATACTTGTTGTAGTCGGATTTCATAAGTCTTGCCATGTATTTAACTCTTAAATTATTTAGAGCAATAACATCACTCTGTGTTTTACCTGCAAAACCGCAATCCAAACGTCCTTCACCTTCCCCCATATACAATTTCATATGCCTCATAAGATACACTCCATAATTCGATCCTTCATTTGCTACTCTCCATTTAATATTCATCACACAAGGTTTCATTTTGTTAAAAGCAGTTGCTTTTTGGTGATGTGATTTTAAGAAGTTGCCAAACAATTTTTTCTGTGGTACAATACAATACATTTATTTATTAATACAAAAAAACTCATATAACAATACTAGTATGTAATTCTTAATCCTACCACAATAGTTGGTTTGCTTCCATATATACTCGCCAAAGAGCCTGTTCGGTTGACATGATCTATATTGTCGTAGGTGGGTAACCTTAGATCAAAGCATAGTAAATAACATTTACCCCTCTCAACCACTGGAAAGAATACCTGGTATACAACAAAAATTATAACAATAAACAATAACTATATAAAAAATAATAAAACATCTAACACAATTCTTAATCAAATTACCAGATCAACATCTTTGAAACTTGGTTTAATTGGTAGATTCCTTATGTGGAGGTGTGTAGCACCCGTTTTGCGATTGTTTGAGCTTGTTAGCTGTCGATTGCGTCTATGAGGTGAGTTTACTCACTATACTATGTAGGATGCTAGATTGCCTTTATGATTCTTGCATGCATGTTGTGCGAGGTCCGTAATGTGGGCCGGACCCGTTAGTTGTGTCGGTGTGGAACGATGTTACGTATGATATGTGGTATTTTAGGAAACTCACTAAGCTCTGTGCTTACGGTTTTATGTTTAAATGTTTCAGGTACTTCTGGTTCCAAGAGAAATGACCCATCTTGATCGTAATGCATCCCCAAAGATTTATTCCACAATATATTTTTATGGTTTACTTTGATGTTTTGAGAATACATTATACTCTATCTATCTTTTGGTAGTAACGAATGAAAGTTTGGTTGATTTATAAATGAAATTTTTACTTAGTATTTTTAGGACGTCACATATGATTTATTTCATACAAGTGACAACACTCGACTTTTACTTGATTTTTGAAAATATCCATGATATAAAAATTGTTATGACTAACTTAGGGAATATGAGTTATTTTTCGGGAATTGAAGTATTACAAAAGGAAAGGGGTTCTTTATATGTCAACAAATGTATCATCTTGAAGTATTGAAGAAGTTTGGCATGATAAATAAGAAAATGCAGATATCCCAATTGTTATAGGCTCAACATTAAATAAGGTCAAACATGAAAACTTAGTAGACGCAACACGATACAAACAACTTATAGAAAAAGGTGAATATTCCAATTGTTCAAGGCTCAATGTTGAGTAGTGCATGAACATTTCAACATAAATGCATCTTCAAGCTGCTAAGAGAGCTTTTAGATAGATAGAAGGGTATGTGGAGTATGAATCTATTACAAACATACATCGAAAGATAAATTTATGGGGTGCACCAATAATGATCATGCAGAAGATGAAGATGGCAACACAAGCACAAGTGGATATGTGTTCGTGTATGCCTAAGAGCAATTTTATGAAGCTCAAAGAAACAACCAATTGTGATCTTATCCTCCGCATAAGCGGAGTATATAGGTGTAGTAGCTTAAGCATGCCAAACAATATGGTTCATGGAATTCTAAAGCAACTTGGATACGTGAAGGAAGGAAATTACACAGCTCTAATGTATGACAACACTTTAACCATCAAATTATCAAAAAATCAAATCTTTTGTAGTCGTAGTCGAAGCAGGAACATACGAGTAAGATATCACTTCCTTCGAGTGTAAAGTAGTGAAGGTTCCATAACATTGTTGCATTGTAGAGGACTAGAGGTACAAAGCATGTAGTAGACATAATGACCAAACCACTTAAGTTATAGACATTTGCTAAACTAAGAAGCATGATGAGAATGTGTGAAGTAAGTGAGATAAGTTGAACAAGTTGCATTTTGTTCAACCAAAATGCTTGTAACCTAGCGTATTCGGTGTTGATGGAAAAAACCCTTCAATTATAAGTTGTGGATTCAAATCCCATTACAGATCAAAAGAAAAAAAAATGTAGCTTAAAGTAAAATAGAAGTATCTTCTCTCCGATATAAAGAATTTTATAAAAGCTAAAATAAAATCGAAGATAGCCACTATATCTTCTTTTTTGGCGGGTATGTCAGATGAAAAGCCGAAACTGCCCTTAGTTCATCACACCTTATTCACAGCTCCCCCGTTTATACGCTATTCTCATCGCTTCAATTTCTACTTCTCGAGATCGAGGTGTGGCGGAGATCGCCTTCGGAGACACAACAGTAGAAAACAAGATTCCTTATGTAAGTACCATTGTTGTTCCGCAATTCTACTTCTTTCTCACTCTTATGCACAATTAGGGTTTTGTTTTCACTTAATTTGATGGTATGTTACGAATCGGTTGTTGTTCAAAACTGATTAGTGGTATTTAATGTGGAGGATTGGTTTTCTGATCATGAATATTAGCGTCAATTCATTACTGAATTTTGGTACGTGAGTCCGGTATTATGATCGTTTTCATCATCTACAAACCGATTTCAGCTTCACGACTTCCAAGTTTTTGGCTCATTTTGGTTTCTACACGACAATACCATTTTTGAGTCGTGAAGCTATTTGAAACCAGCAAGAGTTAGGTTTTCGTATGATTTTATGTGTTTTCCGTACAAGTGATGAAAATGTTGTTTTGATTGATTTGCTCAAGAAGAAAAGCAAGTTTTTTCCTTTTGTCAATGGTGTGTATCTTATCCCCTCTTATTTTTTCTGTTTACTATGTAAGAAAATTTTGAGTTTTTTTTTTTTTTTTTTTTTTTCATTCTTACCTACCAGTTACCGGAGAGCCCTGTTTGTAGCTTAATTTACAACTCTGGAAAGTTCTTCCAGTTAAAACAAACCACAATGATGAAATTGCAAAGTTTTCTTATAAATTTGTTGCTTAGAGCATGATTAGGGGTTTACTGTTTATGCATTGACCTGTTAACCAGATTTTCAACATTATAGCATATCATTTATGTTTATCCATTTATTTTTGTTTGTAGACCATGAATGTGGCAGAGGATTTCCAACAGACATTTGACAGGATTACACCGGTAATAATCTTTTTTTTTCTTCTTTGAAGTTGGTTTTGTGGGTATTTAATTTCTTATGGAAGTTAATATTCTTTATTATAACTCATTTGTCATTCTCATTTCATGGGTCCAAAAGTCATGATACTTGATATAGTTGCTTATGTGAACATAATCTTATGCAGAACGATAACAGCATCTTTCTTTTGCTATGGCATGTTCTCCACTTGATTCTTAGGGTATTTTACTTTGCCCAAGAGGTGTTTCAAACAGTTGAAAACTACCTTATAACAAATGGAATAGTGAAAGCATATGAACATTTAAACTTACAACGAGTCAATTATCTTGGAGTTGTCATAGACAGTGTTGAAGCTCGTGAGACTACAGAAGTTATTCAACTTTTGGAATGGCTTTCAGACATTGGTATCAAAAAGGTCTGTCTATATGACAAGGAAGGTAATACTGCATTTACAAGATCTTTTCTCTAGGAATCTAAACCTACATAAATGTATATGTGTGGCTATAATGGTTTCTTTCACTCTTGTAAATGTAGGAGTGTTGAAGAAATCAAAGGAAGTTTTTGTAGAGAGATTTAATTCATCAAAACCATCTAATGTATGACCTATGAGCTTTATATATCTTCTTGTCATTTTGAACAGACATTAAGTGTCATTTGTTGCCTGTTAGTGCAGGATGATTCAAAAATGGATTCCCTTCTCAATAAAAAGCAAATGGATTTTGAATTTGTTTCAATTTCTGATGGAAAAGTAGTAATTGCAAAAGCAGCTAATGTACTTTTTAAAAAGTATTACTTGGATGATGATGATGCTGAAAAACCTTTCTTCACAGAGAGTTACTTGACCGATGCATTAAAAACCCTAGGTTTGTTCTTCTTCCCTTATCTTGAGATTATAGCAAAGAAAAACTCAAAAACAATTTAAAGGAGCAAATAAAACACCATAACAAAAAGATCACTTACATATATTGATTTCTTGTGTGATTATGTGGTAGGTGTTGTAGAGCCTGATCCTGACCTTTTATTAGTTTACGCGCCAGCTAGATGCCACCTTGGTTTTCCAGCATGGAGAATTCGATACACAGAGATTGTGTAGGTTACTAAATCCTATTTATTTACTTCTTGTGTAGGAATGGAATGCATTTTTCTATGAATTTTTTATATTATAAGTGAATGTAATCTCTACATTTTTTCTTGATTGCTCGAGTTTTGACCTACTTATTTCTTGCAGACACATGGGCCCACTGAAGCATAAGAAATATGGTTTAATTCTAAAAGCCATTCACAATTTCACCAAGGTTAAGCAAAACTATGGTATGTGCTCTATTTTTTTTCTTTTTAATTTTAAAACTAGTTGTTTACTTGTTATCATAGTGTTACATATAATTACAAAAACATGAAAGTTTGTCGAATTATAACAGCTGATATTATTATCTACTTTTGTATATGTATTCAGGTTCATAAGCAAACATTAATGGCTGCCATTCTTGGATGACTCATGACATGTTGAGATCAAGTGGAGTCACAAATTCTTGTTTCAACTCTTCCTCATGTTCATATTTCTTTTGAACATCAAGAGATTATCTGCTGTAGATTGGCTATCTTTTATTGTTTTATGTTGTTATGAAATTCATATTGTTATTTTTTGCATTTTAACCCAAAGATATAAGTAAATTTTATATAAAAGTTCATAAAACAAGTTTTAAAAAAAACGTTATTTTGTCATGAGCAATAGCTATAAAATATTGATATGATCCGATCCAAAAATCAGTAACTCTCATTATGATTATTTATTTAGTTTATGATTTTACATAATGATCCTTACAATTAAGTGGATGGGACCCACACAACATTATCAGCAGGAAGGAAATGGCACACAGGAGAGCTGCCAGGCTGGCCGCCAAGCACGCGGAATGCCACATGGTCAGGATCCCATGTGGACGTGTCCATGTGGCAAACAGCAGCAGCATCAACTCTCTCTCCATTTTCACCTTCCAATGCTATCTTAAACACCCTGTTGAAATGACCCTTTTGCCCATGGCAGTAGTAAACCAAATATGGGTAAGCCATGGTGTGACAAGCCACCATCTTAGGAGCATAAATCTCCAATGGTTTCTCCACAAACGTATACCCTTGGAAAAGGGTATGATTGGAATTCAAAATCTTGGTGGTCAAAGCCTTGAGTTTGACCATACCCAAAATGCCGCGTGTCATGTCCAGCATGGACTCCAATGACGTGGCACAAAACTTGATCTCACCCTCTTTGGGCTTGAGCTCACATTGTTTAAGTGTGGTCTCCATAGCTTTAGCTTGTGGGGATTTGTTAGAAAATGAGAAGAATTCAAGAAGGTATGAGAGTCTTGATGGTGAAAAAGGGATCGAATCGGCTTCTTCTCGAGTAAGTAGATGAGTAGGGGTAGAATTGTCATTTGTAGCAAAATAAATTGACATTTTTTTCCCAAGATATAGATCGTTGACTCTAAAGAACACATTTAGAGCAGGGTCCAAACCTTGATCATTGTTGTGAACATTTCTTATGGGTTCCTTGATGATTTCATGAGCATTGCTTTTGAGACAAAACTATCAAATATCAAATGAATATATATGTTAACAACTATAAACACACAACACATGTAACCTAATGTGATAAAATCGTCAACAATTTTCCTGTTTTATATAAAGTTTATGAAAAAAATTCAGACTTTTTTGGTAGATAATAATTAGATGTAATACCTGAAGAAGCAAGAAAGCATACAAGAAGGAAGAGGCAAATGCCATCCTGTGGAGACTTGTGGTTTTTCTTCTTTATATATTCATATATATAGTAACAATTAAATACCAAATGTAAAAGATATTATTTTAAGACAAAAAGAAACCATGTCTAAAGCATATAAAACTTTTATACGTTTATTAATAACTATTTAATATTAAAAAAAAAATAGTTTGCGGGAAATTACCTAAATATACATTATTTTTTTAGGAACATATATTTGTGAAAGTCATAATCGTGAGTCGTGACCATTTTGTTTTGCACTTTCATACAAGCAATTAATATTATGATTAAATGCATTTAATAATAGTACTTTCTACCTAAATTTAAATTGTATAAGGACAAGAAATATAACTAAATCGTATAAAATATTGGTAATATTTTTATCTAAATTTATTAGATCATCAATAGTATTTAAAGCCATCCACAATTGAATGGATGTTGAAGGACGTGATAAGTTCAATCGGTTGTGAAAATGCCAACATGACATATATTTATGGTAATAATATAATAAATTTGGGGAATCTCCATAAAAATCCTAAAACGTTACCCTAATTTACGAAAAAATCTTAAATTAAAATTTGTTTACGAAAAAGCATGCATTACCGGTAAAAATGACGATTTGACCATATTTTCCCGGTTTACCGGTTTCTTTACTTACATGTTTCATTAAAGTCCAATTATTTTATACCAATTTACGAATAAGTCCCAAACTAAAATTTATTGATGATTTGACCATTTTCTCCTACATTTTATCGGTTTCATTGCTGACCTGGACGCCTAATCATTAAATGAGCTAATGAGATGGATATGTTGGGTTATATAATGCTACGTTTACCATAAAACTTGATATTTTGATATATTGTATATTTTTTTGGAGTATAAAATGCATCCGACGAAGACTGCAATAATTATATAAACTAGCAACAACTATGTTATTTTTTACGTTTATAAGAAATTTCAAATTGTCTATCTAATCTTATGTAACCCAATATATCCATCACATCAGACATCATCTCATTTCTTACCATTTTCTCCCGGAAACACACATTTTAATGGTTTCACTGCTGACCTAGATAAATAGTCATAAATGAGCCGATGAGATGAATATCAAATTTTACAGTAAATATAATATTATATAACCCATCGTATCCATCTTAGCAACTAATTTAATGACTATGTGTCTAAATCTGCAATGAAACAGATAAAATGTAAGTTTGATGGAAAAAAGGGTTAAATCATCACTAAGTTTTAATTTGGGACTTATTCGTAAATTAGGGTAAAATAATTGGACTTTAATGAAACAGGTAAGTAATGAAACCGGTAAACCGGGAAAAAGGGGTCTAATCGCCATTTTTACCGGTAATTCATGCTTTTTCGTAAACAAATTTTAGTTTGAGATTTTTTCATAAATTAGAGTAAAATTTTAGGACTTTTATGGAGATTTCCCTAATAAATTTTATACTTTTTAACTTCTATAAATCATTAGGGTCAGGTTCCGGTGATAGTTCTTTTTAAAGTGAGGACTCGAGATGACACCTTAAAAGAATTGAAAAAAATACAAATTATAAAATCGAGCATAATATTATATCCGTGAGAAAAAAAATGGATTTTTTTTTGCATCATTAAAATTGAATCATGGATCATAAAAGTTGAATCATGGATCTTAAAAATGATCTATGCTTCAATTTTAATGATCCAAATTTTTTTTCTCTCTTATATAGTACTATGCTCGATTTTATGATTTGCATTTTTTTTATATTTTTTTTTCAATTTTTTTAAAGTGTCCTCACGAGTTCTCACTTTAAAAAGAGTCCTCACCCGATCTTATCTCTAAACCATTAAACCCATATATATATATATATATATATATATATATATATATATATATATATATATGAAATGAACCATTATCATTTTGATAACAATTTAATAATCATTTCCAATATATCAATAAAAGGGATGTTTGGCTTATTTTTTTAGAGACAAAAATCCTTTTTGGAAAAGATAAAATGTAAAAGATGTTTGGTAAAAAGATTTTAGAAGCTACTTTTGAATTTTTGATATAAGAAAAACTGACTTTTTGGAAAAGTCAGAAAAACCTGACTTTTTGTAACTTTTCCAAAAATGATTTTTGCCTCTCAAAAAGATAAGTCAAACACTCCCAAAGTTGAAAAGAAGTTGAAATTATGATATTACAGTACATTAAATTTTGTAGTGTTTAGTCGACTATAGATGCTTAATGGGATATATACTTCATAAAAAACTAATTGGATTATGTAAGTTAAAGTCTTAAAGAAATATGAAAAATATTACCATTTACCTCTTGCATTTTCAAAATTTAAAGGAATAATTTCATATATACCCTTATTAAACGTTAAAATATCATATTTATCCAATCTAATATCCAAATATTATATTTGGCCTTCTTAATCTTATAAAATATCATATTTGCCCAAATATATATTTTTAATATTTTTTAATACTTTAAATTCTCTTTTTATATATTAAGATCATTAAAATTGAAAAAATAAAAACCAAATAGACCATATTACCCCTAACTTCTAAATTGCAGGAACTTCATCTTCTAGACCTGTTGTTAACTTCTTGCGGCGTAATGTCAATTGCTAGTTACCTTTTTATTTTGAATTTTTGCTTCCTAAAGAATAGAAGAAGGGATTAAACTATGAGTTTCTTTTACTGTTTGATTTTGTATTTCTTCAAAAGTGAAAAAAAAAGTTTAAATAGCTATCGCCGATTGTTACCAATTGCAATTTTTGTTATATGTGGTTGTGTGCGCGGCAATGGATAAAAAAATTGAATGTATTATAATATATTTTGTGTGTGTACGGGTCAAAATTTGACTCTTTGTGTTTCATGAGTTTTTATTTTAAAGATACTGTAACACTCTATTGTTTCCGATGGCAAATTTCAAGTTAGTTGCTGATGAAGTTTCTATTATGATTTAGAAGGTAAGGGTAATACGATACATTTAATTATTATTTTAATTTTAATGATTTTAAAATATTTAATAAATATTTTTGGACAAATATGATATTTTAAAGTTTAAGAAGGTTAAATATGATATTTAGATATTCGGTTGGGCAAATATGATATTTTAACTTTTAATAAGGATATATACAAAATTCTCCTAAATTTGGATACAAAATAAAACTACTTTATTCGACTGTATTTGTAAGATTGTTTTGCAAATTATATCATCTTTTAATATTTTAAAAAATTTATAATTTGTTTGCAATAAAAAACCAAATACGATTGTATAAACGATTACTTACCCATTGAGTAGTAATCAAATCTATATTTATGTCGATATGCTTAGGACTTGAATATAAACACTATTGAGGTCGAGAGTTCAAGTTTTATTTGAGATATAGATGGTATTAAGAGTAGTTTAGTAAAAATAAGGTAGATTTACCGTTTAAAAAAGAAATGATATAAGAATGCAATTATTAATTCCTTTGCAAGTATATCAATATCACAACTTATATTTAAGAAATATTTACACTCACACAGATCATCGGAAACTCTGGAAATATTTACACGTACGAAAATGCAGACAACTTCAAGAAGATTTTGCTGATTATATATACGATGGAAATGAAGATGAATAATTTAGGGGGCAAATGTATTTTTTTTGTTTTTAAATGTTATTTTTTTTGTCGTAATGTTTATATATATATATATATATATATATATATATATATATATATATATATATATATATTGTAAATGGTATTTTTAATTAAAAAATTATGTGTTATTTAAATAACATGTTTTATTAATTTCTTTTATAAATATTAAAAATTAAATCGAAAAAAAATGATGACATGGAAAATTGAGAGTGTTATAAGGCTAGAGGGAGTGATGCCACAAAAGTTGCACTCCCTTCACTGCAACGTAGGCGACACGTCAACAATTACCACAAAAGTGTGGTTTCATGCCACACTCAATTTAAAAGGTTAAAAAAAACATTTTTTTTTTAAAATCTGACCAATCAACGGTCAATTGGAATGACAATAGGAAGAGAGGAACGCTCCCTTGGAGTGCCACAGTGCGGTCTCTACCGCACAAAAACCGTAGGGATGGGGCAGTATTCCAAGTTGATGTGGCAAGGGAGTGCACCCTCTACCGCACCCACTCCCTCAAGCCTAACATGTTGTTCATTTCCTCACTCGGTGGTCGAACACCATAAGGTGACATGTCATGTGAGGTGACCACTTTTGGGTATGATAACATCTTTTAGCTAGTTGCCCACATCCAGTAGTCTTAGAGGTCTGTGATTATTATTAGGGTTGTAAACTGTAACACCCCAACCGTCAGGTATCATTATTATTCCATTTAGATTTCATGTTTTAAGGTCTACTCGACGAGTTGACGCTGTGACTCGTCGAGTAGCAGCGGGTCAGGACACGTCATTTAATGAGTGACTCGGCGAGTCGGCTTGGGGGACTCGACGAGTAGGAGCTGGCAGAGGAAACCTAAATTTTAGGGTTTTTGCACCCTATATATTGGACCATTAGCGCCTCCCACTGTCCTCTATCACCCCTTAAGAGCCAGAAACCCTAATTTCCGTGAGTGTGAGCTTGGAGAGTGTTTTGGAGCTTTGGGAAGTGACTTTGTGAAGGAAACTTGTAGATCAAGAGGCTACCATCAAGGATTTCGTGTGGATCCAGAGTCTACTTCAGCTTGGGCACGTTTTGGAGGTATCAAGCTGTCACCTTGACCTCTTTTCTTCTAGAATCTTTCATATGTGAAGATTAGGGCTTTCTTTAGCTATTCATGAAGGGATTATGGTATGGTAGCTAGATCTGAAGTTGAAACCTCAGATCTGAACCTCTTTTAAGTCCTAAGTCCATAAAGTTCTTAATAGGGTCATGAAGGAACCCTTGTTTATGAGTAAAGTCCCATTCAAAGCTTAGATGTGGATTTTAAGTCATGCAAATACGTAAAGGTAGCAACTTTACGTTGCTAATGCACTCTAGGGACCTAGA